GGCTGCTCCCTGCCCCCTCTCCGCCCTTGCTATATTTATCTACAACAGTATCAGATGTTTCGGAGCTACTCTGCAGTCAATTAAAAGTAATTCATCTGAAAAGCGTGCCTACAGCGAGTCCGGCCTCATGTTTTGGAGAGGGGGTAATAATTCAAATCGACTGATTGAGGGAGATACCTGGGTTGTTTTATATATATATGTATATATATTTGCTGTTGTTGTTGTTGTTTTGTTTTTTCTTAACTCTATTTCTGCCTTATCTACCGAGCCGTGCTTGCGGACGGCTGCAGGGAGAGCATCTGTCTTGCACATGTTCTTCCCAGGAATCACATCCATTGGGTTGTGGAGGTGCAGCCTGGCAGTGTGAGCCGCGTGTGCTCACACAGTGTCCACGATATTGGTAGTCTTTAACAAGGCAAGGGGGTTGCAAACGGTGCGTAGCGGTTGGCTGTGGTAGGATCTAGGGAGCCTGGCTGAGCTGAGGGCTGTGCTGGGCATGGAGAAGGGACTTTGCTCCCTGCAAAGACTCCTCTCTTCAGCTGGCGCTGGCAGAGGTCCTTGAGCCTGCCAGGGTGACGGTCCTGGGCTCCTGCGCTGTATTCCTCTCCACAGAAAGATCTCATACATCTTCGTGTTGAAAACCCACCTTGCTTTTTGGGATGGGAATGAGCCGTTGCGACTGGGGATGCTTTAGTGGGGTACTGGCAGCAGTTGGGGAGGCTAGTGGTCCTGAAGGGCTGCGTGAGTGGTGGAAAGTGTCACTTTGGGGACCATCAAAGGTAGAGTCACCTGTGATCCTTCTGCTCCCAACACATCTGCTCACCTGCTGCAGCCATGAATGTGTGCAGATCAGATCTCAACTGCATTCAAGGGTCAAGTGCTCACTGTGTGACACTGTTAATGGGGAAGCGGGCCTGGGGACACATGGCTGGGGACACATGAGTAGCTTTCACTGCCGCAATGGATGGAGTGCATGAGGTGTGTGCATGTGTGTCAGATCTCCAGGAAACTCATCACGCCGTTGCCTGTTTCCTGCACTCCACGATCGTATCTAGACAGCCCAAGGCACCTCTGCAAAGGCAGCAGTTGTAACAAAAGAAATTAAGCAAGTGAAGTTTGGGTGGTTTGAAGGCTACGTGCCCAAGACAGTGCTTGTAGGAGTCGGCATCTGCCTCTTGCTCTGGAGACCGCTTACTGATGGTGCGGAGACCTCTGAAGCGAGTGGCTGTAGGCGCGCGAGGTGAGCACGCGCCGGGTCCGTGAATCGCTTCCGTGATGGACACGTGCTTGGGTCTGGGTGCCTAGGGAAGAGACCGTTAGCTCAGCGTGCCCTGTGCCATGCTGCCAGCGCCACTTCCCGGCTCCACGAGCACTGACTGCTCCTGGCGGTCTTCCCGCACAGTGCCCTTTCCGTGGCTTTCGCCCTGGGACCATGCAGGATGCGAGCTTGGCTGGATGCCTCTGGGAGAAGACCTCAGAGGGGATGAAAAGAGAAGTGGTCCAGACTTCTCACATGGATACAGGGCACTGGACGCACTCCCAGCCCAGTGGGTTTATCATATTCCTGTGAGCGGGAAGAGCATCCTGAGCAGTGAGGCTGAGCTCCCTGGCTGCTTTCCGTGATTGATACCATATGCGCCGGGCTGGCGGTAGCAGGAATTAATCTCCGGCTGCAGCTTCCCTGTCTGGGAGCTGAGGGCAGCGCCCGTGCAGCTTGGGGGCGGCTCCGTCGCTGCCAGCCCTCCCTCCGCTCCCTTGCATAATTCCCCGCCGGCAGTGGTTTGCACGCAAACGCGAAGCGGGGAGGCATCGTAGCCGCCCTCCAAGCATGCCAGCCTCCTGCAAAGATCCCACCGTGCCCTCATCCTCCATGCTCCCTTAGGCTTTCGGCTCGGGTCTCTCTGTTGCGCTCCCGATTTTGCCTGGGAAGGGGTTTGGGAGGCGAAGCGCAGGCCGCGCTCTGGGCATCCCTTTGGGAGCAGCTGCGTGTGCGCGCGGGTGCCGGCCTGGAGCGAACAATAGACACCCCAGCGCCCGGCTATAATTATCAGAGCCGCTTTCTTGTTTGCATGGGTCACGTTTTAGCGCGTTTGATCTCGCGGCCCGCAGGATCCGCCGAGTTCAGATGCGGGGTCAGGCTGTGCAAACAAAGCTGCTCGCAACAATACGTCCAATGCATAGGCGCCTTTGTTTAGAGACATATACTGCGAAGCGCATGTAAACAAGCGAGCCCGTGACCAGCGCCCGTGGCCCGGAGCAGCGTGAAGCCGGGGACAGGACTTTCTCAAGGCACACGCTGTCCTTTCGGGTTTGTTTTCCGGGGGGGATGGGCGGGAGAAGCCACCACTGGGAGGGAAATGCACACGAGCGCCGGGCCGGAAAAAAAGGGCTCGGCTGCAGCGAGGAGGTGTGGAGTGACGCTGGGAAGCGCTCGCTGGCCCTGAATGGGCCCTGCTTCCCTTTGGCTGCATCAACACGCATCCCGGCACATGGGTCACCCCGCGGCACGGGCAGCGCACTCGCCTCCGCGGCCCTTCCGAGCGGGAGAGTGAGCGGGGTGAGGATTGGCCTCTCTTAATCCGGCGCCTCCTGCAGTAATCTCTCCCCACCGTGCAATCTTCTCATCTTGGATGCCTCCCGGCTCTACCCCTCAGAGGAGGAATTCCCACCTCCGCCAAGGATGAGCCGCTCCGAGCAGTGGGTTGGGATGAGCCTGGAGCTGCTCTGCCTTC